TCGATGCCGCTGTCAGCAGCTAAAACACTTTCCAGCAGCGGCAGTAACACTTTGAGCCACACCGGTCCGGAGTATCAGGTGGATGAAGCTGTTGTAAAAAGAACACATAATGCTACTACCACTATGCATGATGCTACGATGTCCTCGTCGTCAACGAAATCGCATCATCCCGGTGGCACAGCTATACTTGTAGCATCTTTAATGATACTCTTTGCCACCTTAACGTTCGCATTGGCATTTATTATTGCACGTCGACGAAAACGAGGTAACGAATCGTTAAATATTGGCCCACCAAGTGAATTGGTATACCGCAAGCTGGTCGCTTCCAGTCAAAATGTTTGTGAAGAGTGTCCATGAGACGAGATTATATGCATTTATGTGTAATTTTACATTTCCTGTGGTTTAATTTTTTTTTTCATATACAAATTTACACATTTAAACAGTATGTATGTATGTATTTTTTTTTGTAGTTTTTGATTCTCTGTTTCTTTAATATATATTTTTCAATGCAAATCGCTTTAGACAATTTTTATATTTTTTGTAGCGCATTAATCGGTTTATTAAGAATTATTAAGTAATTATTTGTCATAATCATACAAAATTTTTAGTAATTACTTGTACTTACTTCTATATGTTTTACACGAAACCCAAGTTCGTAGCCTATACAAAATTTTATACTACTTTACATACCTTTATATTATGTGTCACGATCGTCTAATTTTAGCAAGTCTTTGTACAAATAAAAAAATAAAGTGTACTTTAATTACATTTCTGTTTTTCCTTTTTTCCTTTTACATTATATTGCTTTAACGTTATTTAGTTATTATCGCATCTTTACAAGGCCTCGCCTCATAAAATATTGCTTGCACATTTTGTCTTTTTTTTCAGTTAAAAAAGTTTCTATAACGATGTTGTGGTATTGTAGCTCTCTTAGCGCCAAAACAAAACTCTTTGCTTGATTCTTCCAAATTTCTGTATGCATATATTTATAGGTTGTCTGCCGTTCGGTGTGAAGAATCGTCGTCATGCTTGGGACTTTCCTTCCAAGCCAGAGGGATTTAAATTAGGCGGCCTACTGTTGGATCGCGGTAAGCGTGGAGGTTTTGAGAAGCTCGATCAAAATGCTAGTGATGAGGATAATGAAGCAACTACAAATATGCTGGCGAGTGTTCCATTTGCCTAAGTAGAGTAAGAAATGAGCTTAATCCCAAAGTAAGCTTTAAAATAATTAGAAATAAACAACACTGACGGCTCATGAGACCGTACATGGGCCTCTAATTATTTAAGTATCTTTTGAGTCAATAATATTTGGCTTAAAGTCGTTTAAATAATGTAATTACCGAAAATTTCTTCCAAAGTCCACAAATAATGTTGAAGCTAAATTCGATTAAAAAAAAAAACTTCTAGTGGGTTGTGTGACGTCTCCAAGGAGCCAAATAGAGTGAAACAGCAGAGAAAAAAAAGGAAACCCCAAAAGATAGGGTAAGATAATAGAGGCTCACGAGCATTGTGAAAAATTAGTAATTAGTATATAATGCTCATGGACTTGCATTTTTTAGAAAATTTCGCACTTTAAATTAGCATTCAATAGGAAACATTTATGTGGTGTAAACATTTAGCTCTCGGTATGGGTAACATTTGCGAGAATCTAGCAGAAAATCTGTAATTGCTTATTGTGTGTACAAATGAAAATTTCTTGACTAACTTAGGGAGGTTTCAGGATAGTTGACCATTCTGGAACAAGCTCTATGTATACCAGCTCGAGATTAGGTCATGACTATTTCAGGAACATTTAGGCCCTAGTACGGTATGATTTTGGGACTAGTTCAGGATTCTGGGACAATTTTTTAACTAGTTCGAAATCATTAACCGACTTCCAAAAAAGGAGGAGGTTATCAGTTCGTCGGAACTTTTTTTTTATACATGTTACCGTTATGTCAGGTGGTCTGGCTTAGATCCCATCATTGGATCATGAAATATATATATATATATAAATATTTTTTTTTAAGTCGATTTTTTTTGCTAAAAATTACTTGTTTTATAACTAATAAGGGACCATTTCGGGACCGTTTCAAGACTTAATCGTGATCATTTCGGAAAATGTACACGACTATTTCGACCGTTTCGGGAATTAGTTCTGGACCATTTCGGGTTTAGTTCACAACTAATTCTGGACCATTTCGGGGCTAGTTCACGACAATTCTGGACTAGATCAGAACTATTTCGGTACTATTTTAAGAACATTTCGGGAAAGTACTACGACTAGTCAATAAGTGAGTGTGAATAATTCCTTCCGCAAACAAACAGTTGTAGAAGGATGAGCGACCGAAAACTATTCACAGTCGATTATGAACGAGAAATCGACATTCACAATACCATGGAAAAGCGATTATCGAATAATAGTCGTTAGTCTACTACTAATCGACACTCGCAATAGGGGTGTCAGTTTTTTGTTCCCAACCCGCTTATTCCGACGATTTCAGAAAAATACCATGTGTCCCGTTATCTAGTTATTACTATGTAAAAATCATATAGCAATCGAATTTATTACTTTCGTCACACTGAAAGTCTTTATAAAATATAAAAAGGTTGTTTTTTCAAACAACGTTTTTAAAGAAGATTTTCGCAAGTTGCAGGTTTCATCGGGAGTGTTAGGAATGGATTTTTGAACACCTTCCCGATACCGGCCGTCCCGGTAAAGTTACAAAGTCGCGTTTTTTTATTGAGCTGAACTCATTCTCGATATAAATTTCTACATAGCACCACGCTGTAACTGCCAAATGTACAAATCGTGTGATCCCTGATTAACGTGGTTCCCGTGGATCCCGATATCCCGCGCGCATTTCTATTTCGGTCAATAACTTAAACTTTTTCTTACCAAAGGTACAGCAACAACATGAAAAGTTCCTTATACATTTAATACTTAGACTATTTCGATTATTCAAATGCATTAAAAGCAGAATTTTTTCCACTATCAATGTATGTATGCATTAAATCAAATATTTACTTTAAATTATTCGTGTACGTACTTTATATTTGTGATCTTTTTAACTAAGAATAAGTATTTTGTATACTTTAGAACACTATTGAAGCATTCGTTCCAATAAAAAAAGCTCTGATGCCAAATTTTATCTCATAACTGTACAAATAATAAATTCTATTTTAATTTATAATAATAATTAATAATAATAGATTAGCGCTTACACATATGTTAGTGTTTGGCCGAGCTTCTCCTCCGATTTGTGGCGTGCGCCTTGATGTTGTCACACAAAGAGGAGGGACCTACAGTTTTACGCCGACTCCGAACGGCGATTGTATTTTAATGAGAAGCTGTTTTTCATGGCAGAAATACACTCGGAGGTTTGCCATTGCCTGCCGAGGGGCGACTGCTGTTAAGAAAAAACCTTTTTTCTAAATTTTTTTTGCGATGTTGCTTTGGCCAGGGCTTGAACCCAGGCGCTGCGGAGTGGAAGAGCGCACTGCTTACCACTACACCACAGCGGCCATTTTAATTTATAAGAGTGCAAAAAACACCTTAAACATTAATGTGAAATAAAATTACAGTAAATAACTTAAAAAAACATTGCCCTATTTTTTTTATGAAACTCAACGAAAATACTATGATTTTTCAAATACTTTTCATTTGACTTTCCAGGCCATTTTTCTGGAAAATTTTGTATTTTGCTGTTCATTTTTTGTGAAATTCTCTAAATTCAATTTTTTCAATGATTCATTTAATCAAAGGTTGTGACTTCTTAATTTAATAAATAATCTTTCAAAAATTTAAACTATTAAAGAACTCAACAATGCAAATCACCTATCGAGTAAAGATTTTTTTTTTTACCGAAGTGCCAACCCTTTATTAAAGAATTCATGCCTTTTAAAAATATCTGTTGTTTGGTAGTTCTTAATTTTATTTATTAATTTTTTATTAAAACCAGTTTTACGAAAGCAATTAAAGTGAAAAATAATTTTTTTTATATTTAAAAACTGACAGAAAATCATTTTTCACTTAAATTGCTTTCGTGAAGACTGCAGTTAAAAACTAAAAAAAATTTAATTTAAAAATAAATCTAGCAACCCTGTTAAAAGAACTAATAATGTAAAAGGGCACTGTTTAGTTATTTGGCCAATGACTTCGGGTTATTGTGTGCAAATGGGTGATCGGATAAAAAAAAAAGATTACACACACTTATAGTCAAGGGTCTAAACTTTATTTTAAAACATAAAGCACTCATTTATTACGATTTGAAATATGCACTTTTTTATGAATTTCGGAGTTAGTTCTGCGCAAAAATACTGTGGTCAGCGTAGCCGCGTAGTTGAACTGATGAGGGCTATTTTTTCTATTTTCAAATAGCTCTCAGAGGCCTGTGGAACGGTCCGAGGGGGCAGTTATTGCTTTTTACAAAGTTTTAACTGTGCTATTCTAGTGGGTGCGGTATCAAGAGTCACGCCATCTGCCCGTTTGCACACTAATCCAAAAACAGTGGGTAAATAACTAAACATTACCCATGTAAAATGCTAACACATGTACATACATACATATGTATGTATGTGTTTGGCTAATTTTCATTTTAGAAAATTTTTTCTAAAGATAAATTTCTTATTTCTTGCTGACCCAAAATCGATGTGGCAACACTTTAAGAACCCCCCTTTCCCACTTTGAAAAAATTACTTTTTCCATTGCTTGCAGTTCTTCTTAGAATTAGTTTTAACTTAGATTTATTTTATTTGGTAATTAATCTGGCAACCCTGTTTGAATTATTTGTAAAATCTTCAGCTCCATTCGTATTTTTCTAAAATTCTACTGCCACTTTTTGTGAATAAGCTTCTTATGAATGTGGCAGCCCTGCACTATATATTTGTTTGGTTTTTTATTTTATTGAAAAATTCGTTATTAAAAAATCTTGCACACTTTTATCAATATATTTATATTTTTACACTAGCCAGGATTATCAAATTATTTTATTCGATTTTTTGAGGATGGATGAATAAAAGACATTTATTTCGTTGTTTAATATAATTTTATTTTTATAAAAACTGATATACTAAACTTACGCAAACCTAAGAAAACATAAATTTTTGCAAGTCATAAACGGGTTTAGATATGAAATAGTCCGCTTTTGACTTGTCGCGCTGTCCTTTTGAAGCCATTGAACGTATCTGAACCAAATACTAATGTCATTTAAAAACTTTTTGCTTATAATAAAGGGCATTGTTGTAATAAATAAGATAAACTTAATTAATTCATGAGCTCCAACAGTGCTGCTGTTTGTTTCAAGCAGTGACATCCACAGCCGGATGCACAAATGTTATGTTTCTGTAAAAATATTCAAAAATACGCAATTTAACATTAATGAACAGTTTTAAATATAGGCATCTCCATGCACCTTAAACCACTGCATCATATGGGCCATATGACCACCATGTCCACAAGCCAGACACGCATTGGCTTCGCCTTTCACTGGCAGGTTACAGAGCTGGCATAAAAGAACTGGTCGCTGGCAGCTAGTGCACGAGGGCGTACGCTTTATTTTATTGCAGCCAGGGCACTCGGTAACAAATTCCACACCATGCGGCTGCGTTTGCGAAAACATTGTATGTTTTAAAATCTAACGGGGAGAATTTAAGTATGAATGTAAATCGCGCAAACTATATTTTAAATTTTACCAGCGCACGTTTGGTCAGCAACTGCCAACCGAACAATATGTCCGCATACACCTTCTTGAAGTGATCGAATAGTGGCATTTTGGTACGCCTGATTAGCGAACAGGAATATGAATCCGAGTTGCAATGCTTCGAGTCCACCCAGTCTAGCGAATCCGACCAAGAGTTGCTACGCAACTGCTTCAAATGCACATTGACAGCCAGTGCTGTACTGCATTTCGGATGTGAAGCATGATAATCGATTGGCAAAACGGTATGATAAGGTGACGTGTTGTGCGAGAGTTGCTGCAGTTTGTTATGTTGGAATCCATGGGGACTAGTCGGTGTCATGAATTCACCAAAATCTCCTGACATTGAAGGGCATTTGTGAAAGAGACATGCCAACATTACAGCCGTCTGCAAATCACCCGCACCAGCAAAGTGCATTATTAATGCCTCAAGCAGGAATTTCTTAAATGGATCTTTATAAAAAAGCGTCTCATATTTCGTTTCATTTGGTATATTTGGTGTGGCAATCAGCTCAGCCAGCGTCCAAATCGGCACCAAATCATAACGGCCGTATGTTTCGCATACCTGCCGATTGCGACGACAAGTTGCACGCAAATCTCGCTTGTCCAACGAAAATTCCTTTGCCATTTCATAATTGATATTCAACAATTTGCAGGCTTCATAAATATGTACAATCGGTGTTGCATTAGTTTGTTTTTGCATTGAACGACTTTTCGAGTGTTTGACGCTCATGCGATCTTGCAAATAGAAGGATGCATTTGAATCGCGATGTGTATAGAGTACATTACCGAGCAGCACACCACCACTAATCGCCGAAAATGTGCGTGGTGTTGAATTTTGATGACGCAGTGTTAAGCGTTTCGAATGCGGCGCCTGCGCAAAAGCGACCAACAGGCCGGTAGCATTGAATTTAACGCCTGAAGTGCGCGGATAGGGAATACAGGCATCGTGTAAAGCACCGCTTAAGGCGCCTTCTAGCCGCGGTGATTGTAAACGCAGTTGAGATTTATCTGTAACGCTACCAACCGACTACATGCAAGGAATAGACTAATATTAGCACAAAAAATATATATTAGGCAATATTGCGTACCTTCTTCATGGCGCCCACTAAGGCACGTAGGCATTGTTCCAAACATGTGCGCGATTTTTTAACGCGTTGTAAAGCGTTCGTTTTAAGTGTCTTGAGCAAAATTGTAGATAGTTGTTCGTGAAGTGTAGTGCCATCGCAAAAAGTGAATTCCGGCCCGATATTGGGACTGGGATACTCAGTTGGGAAGATGGTCTATGTGCAAAAATGTAAGCCCTAGTCAAAAGCACAAATGTGGTCTGCTCACTTACCTGCAATACCACCACATGACCGCCCGCTGAGATCTTAAAGACCGCATAACGTTTAATAGCATCCAATATGTCCACCTCTACATGCGGCATATTCCTATTAAGTAGCGAGAACTCATGATGCAGCGAACAAGTTGGCTGATCAGTAAGCGAACGAGCTATATGTGTTTCTTCCTTACGCATTGGCGGGGGAGGCGAACGCGATATAGTGGGTATTGTTAGGCTATCAGATGTTTCTGTGGGCAGCGATGCGGCGCCAGCGCGTGTCAAACTTAAAGTGGGCTGATATAAAGACGACGAGTGTGTTGGCTGAAATTTAGTAGTCGTTTCTGCAAAAGAATCCGGCGTGTCGCATACTTCATCGCCATCGAAATCGGGCTCGCAGAGTTTGAGCATCGTGTCATCGATCTTCCATACACGCAAACTACGATCACGTGACCAAGTAACTACCTCCTGTATGCATTAAAAAAAGTGGCACTTTGTAAAACGTTTACCAAAATAATAGAAAACAATGATATCTGCGCTTTACAGCATTTTTAATATCCGAAGATGACTGGATGTAGACTTACAATCTCGGAAGTGTTTTCTCGATTTGGTCGCCATTCAAAATCAAGTATAACATCAGTGTGTCCCACAAATGAGCAAACCGGATCTGTTTGTTTACTATTGCTCCACAATAGCAAACTATTCTCACCGCGTCCCATTGCAGGCACCACTATGCTAACCAATCCATTGCCAATGGGCTGTAAGAATAATTAACGCATACATACATAGTTGTGAATTTTAAATACAAAATAAAATTTATATACCGTATAACGCGCTCGCCACACGGGTGAGGTCATTGTAATTATTTTTTCTGCGCGCCGCGGATTATTCACATCGAAATATTTTACTGTGCCATCTTGACTCGCGGTAGCCAGACATGTTTCACGCAAATGACTCCAGTTAATGCCATGTACTCTACAATTGAAATATGTATGTTAGTCCTCTTTATATATTTAAAAACGCTTTAAATTCATACCTATTTAAATGTGCGGTTATATAATGTACTGGGCATGAACCTTTGCGCATATCCCAAATACGTAAATCACCATCATGTGCGGCTGCCAATAAATTACCTGATACGCGGTTAAATCCCACTTGTGTTGCTCCGGCTAATGCAGTAATATATAATTGAATTAAATATATAACTTATCTACATTTGTACACCGAAACTTACACATGCATACTGCATTCAATGATAAAGTTGGCTTGCGTGGATCCCGTAAATCCCAAATGTGTGAAAATGTGTCAATTGAACAGCTCACCAGCAGATTACTATTCTTACTATGCCAATCGATATCGGTAACGATACGTGTGTGGCCGCGCAACGAATGGTAGTGCTGCATGTCTGCTGCACCCCATGTTACGACGTCAATGTGTTCACTTGTCTGCAAGAAAGCAATACTAAATGAAAATAATATCTTAAAAATGTTTACGCATAATACTTGCCGCTATAGCACAATACTCCTGCCGATTTGGTAGCGTAGCGAATTCCGCTGCCGACACTTCATATTTTGAATTCCTTTGAAATTCTCGTAGTGTACCATCATCGTGTCCGAGTCGTTGCAGGGCTAAGTGGCGTCGCCCCGCCAACAAAACCCATTGCCCCGTATAGTCGACAGACATTGCCGTTGCCTGCAGCTCACGATGTTCATAACATTTGTTGCTCTGCTGGACCATATGCGTTTTGTCACGCTCTCGACTACGTAGGCTGTTACCAGCAGTTGCTGATTCGGAAGTTGGTGGCATCTTTGAGTACATAAAGTTGATTTAAATTGCAACTTAACAAAAAAGTTTAT